ATGGTGAATCGGCCCTTCACGGAGTCAGCGTAGTATATGTAACTACTAGCACTACTAATATATGAGACCCACTCCAGCCCCTTTCCCGGAGCCTGCCGGACCCAGCTCATGGTATAATCACCAAAGGTGAATCCAGAGGCTGCACAGGAGAGTCTCAGGGACCCTTCAGGCTGGACCAAGCCTCCCCCAGACTCCACCAACTGCACCTCACACTGGACACCTGCAAACAAAGAGAAAGCCTGGTCAGAAATTGCCACACAAACCCACTGTTTCTCTCACTCATATCCACTCACACTCAATCTCTCAAGTTTTCCCTGAATCACCTTTTAAAATAGCAACAAGGAAAACCCAGCTCAGCCCCAACTCCATGGTGAGTCCTCTGTGTTCAGGGCTGATCACCAAGTGGAAGTGCCTTGGAACCCAGGGCTAAGGCTCCTCTCTCAGAGCTGCAGGGTCAGGGTTGGGTCGGTTTTCATCAGTAGAGGGAGGGCCCTATTTGCATGTCTCCTACTATATAGCAAGCTTCAGGGTGGGACGCTTGAGGAGTAGGCTGTACCTAGATAATAAGACGGTGCCCTGCAGAAGTTTGCAGATAATGATGGAATTTGGAAAATATGCTGCCTTATTATGAAATTGTACTGTGATAAGCACTTTGCCCTGATCACCCTATTTCATCTTTAAATATTTGTGTAAATTATGTTCTGTAGGAGTCAATATTTTCTCTATTTACAGATTTGGAAGTGAACCCACACGTGGTGGGGACTCTGTATGCATCTAGGAGCTCCTGTCTGGAATGTGTGAAGCCCAGTTCTGGTCCTGTGCTCCTTGACACTGGCTCTGACTGCCCCCTAAACCAACTCCAGGACAAAGCTAGAGGTTCCTACTGCTGTTTTCAGAACCCACCTTCCGTAATAAGAGCATGTGTGATGTTGCCGCATTCCAGCTCTCACCTGAAAATATGGAGAGAACTAGGGGCCAGGCACATTAATTTTCAGGTACTTGTGACATTTAACATATTTTTGTATCTTTCTATTATTCCATGCCTGTCTAAATTTCCATTTGTTTGCTTGTAATACATTCTACGTGGCTTAATTGAAAGATAATAAACTTCATATATTTAAAATGTACAGTTAATAAACGTGATGTGACTCTCATCATTATCAAGAAAGTGGACAAGTGAATTCTTCTCAACATTTCCTCTTGTTCTGCTGTATTCCTCCTCCTCTCCCCTTCCCTTCTTCTATTATTTCCCCTGGCAACCACCAATCTTCATTATGTTTTTTTAGATATATCTTTATTTATCAGAATTTATAAAAATGAAGTTACATCGTATATATTCTTATTTGTTTGGCTTATTTTACTCAACATAAATTCTTAGCTATTTTACCTTGTTGTTCTGTGTCTCAGGCATTTATTTATTATAAATGATGGGTAGTATTTTAGTGAACAAATATACTATAATTTGTCTTTCTATTAAGCAACTGTACAATATTTGCATTCTTTTATTACTCTGGGTCTTACCAAAAAAATCTGCAACTCAGTTTTGAAATGTACATAGATGAAGAATGTATTTTGCTTATTTTTTTTACAATAACAGCATCAACAATAACAGATAAACAGAGAAGATGGGGTTTTGCAAATTTTAAAAAATATTTTAAATACTTGAAGTTTTAAGAGAAACATCAAATCTGAAATCCAGGGAGTGGCAAGTTCTTGTAGGCAGTAACCAGGCCAGTGTATGAGCTGAACTGGGGCAGAGTTTGGCATATAAAATATGGGCTACTACAAGATGAAAACACACATATATATTGGATTGCTTGAAGTCAAGTGTGGTAAATCTATTGTGTGAATTTCTCAGGGACCACATACTGAAGAGCTTTCCTATCCTCTTGAATCATTTTATCCCAATAATGGGGAAAGTCACAAAAATCTTTCTCTGCCAATGTGTCTGTCTGAGAGAGAAAAAGAACCTACACTCTGAAATGCATTTGGACCCACCTCCCTTATCCCCATTGCAGAACTAAGAAATTACTCTGCAGGGGCAAGCCACCAAAACCAGTATCTTAGGGGCGCTCGGGCAATCCCTTAGGAACTGAGATGGGAAAAGAGATCTTCACCTAAGTTCCATTGAGAACTACCTCCCCCTTTCTTACTGAATCAGAGCCTTAATCTCCAGGTCAGTTCAGCAAATCTGGAAGGTGATAACACCATAATAGAACATTGGAGCTGTGGGAGGGAACAACTGGGGAAAACAAGAGGACTCTCCCCAGGGAAAAGAGCAAGAACACACAGACGGACATCTCATCTG